GAGGAGCTCAGGTCAGAGACATAGAACGTGTGCCTAGTTCAGTCACTCTCCTGATAGAGAAACCAAGGCCCAGGGGGAAGAGATTGGTCTAAGAGCTTGGGGAGTTATGGGCAGGCTGGGGTGGGAATTGGAGTGTGCTGATACTCCTGTGAGGCCTCTTCCATTGTGCTCAGTAAGAACTGCCCCCACCATCACCATCACCATCACCACCATCATCACCATCACCACCATCACCATCACCACCATCATCACCATCACCATCACCACCATCATCACCATCACCACCATCACCATCACCACCATCATCCAATCACCATCACCATCCACACCACCACCATCATCACCATCATCACCATACCACCATCCTCACCATTCACCATCCACCATCATCACATCACCACCATACCACATCATCACATCACCACCATCCATCACCACCATACCACCATCATCCCATCATCACCATCACCACCATCACCACCATCATCACCATCACCACCATCACCACCATCATCACCATCACCACCATCATCACCATCATTATCACCATCATTACCATCATCATCACCAACACCATCACCATCACCGTCACCATGATCAACACCATCACTATCACCATCACCATGATCAACACCATCACCATCATCATTATCACCATCACCACCATCACCACCATCATCACCGTCACCATCATCACCATCACCACCATCACCACCATAATCACCATCACCATCACCACCATCATCACCATCATCATCATCACCAACACCATCACCATCACTGTCACCATGATCAACACCATCACTATCACCATCACCTTGATCAACACCATCACCATCATCATTATCACCATCACCACCATCACCACCATCATCACCATCACCATCATCACCATCACCACCATCACCACCATAATCACCATCACCATCACCACCATCATCACCATCATCATCATCACCAACACCATCACCGTCACCATGATCAACACCATCACCATCACCATGATCACCACCATCATCATCACCAACACCATCATCACTATCACCATCATCACCATCACCATCATCACCATCACCATCACCATCACCATCACCATCACCATCAGCAGCAACATAAAGAATTTGTTGAGACTCGGTCCTTTCGGTGACCCAGTGGTTCAGGATTTTTATTACTGTGCTGTCACCAGGGTTCCATGATGCAGGTGGCACATCCGAATCCACACTTGCTGACTTGATGCGGCGCCCACAGTGTCCTCTGTGCTGCGGCCTGGGAGGCTGGGCGGGGCATCCTCAGGGTCCCCTCCCCGTCAGGTGTCAGGCTGAGCTGCGCCTTCATGGGGCTCTGACTTCCGCACTGCGAGCAGGAGGCTCGGCTCCGGGAATCTGCGTTTCTGGACATTGAGGGAGACTAGGAGCAAGTGGGGAGGGGGAGGTCAGGGGGCCGGAAACGGCCCGTGCCTGGCAGCTCGGGACGTGTGGGAAAGGTCGGCTCGCCACGAGGGGGCCAGAGTAAGCAACTGTGGAAAACCCTTGGTTTGGCCCCGTGGAAGCGCCTGTGCCCTTGGGGACGTGTGAGCTAGCCCTTCCCCACTTCATAGCCGCTGCATTTTTGTCATATTTTCCAGGGATAGGCGTTCGCCTCATGTGCTTTTTGTCCAGCTTTTCCCCCTAGCCCTTTCCCTTCCACAGCGGACCCACCTGCCCCCCTCTCCCCTCCCCTCCCCCCACAGGGGCTCCTGCCCCAGGGACTGCGCATCCTCCAGCAGTGGGGAGGGCGAGGACCCGGGGCTGCTCAGGCTCTGTGCTCCCCGTCCAGGGCGCTGCTGGCCACCCCCTGCTGTGGCCCCCCTCTCCCCGAGACGGAGCCTCCTTCAATGCCTTAAAGGGCCCCTTTCTAAAGGCCACCTGGGCACACTTTGTACACATCCTGTGTCCACTCTCAGAGGTTACAGCCACAACTCCAGGTTCGCCTCTCTGGTGGTGTTGAGAGAGGAGAAGGGGCAGTGGTGGGTGCAGGCCCCGGGGACAGACAGGGTAGACCTTGCACCACCACGCACGGTGGTGTCCTTCTGGACATGTTCCTCCAGCACGCTCACCGCTGCTTTCTCTGCGTCCTCAGCTGTCTGGGCTGTGGACTGTGACAGGGCACACTTGCACACCTGAGCACAGCCGCGCCCGCTCCCCGCAGGGCACATGGTAAAGGCCACCCAAGGTTGGATTGTGATTTCTACCCTTGGGGAGATAGACAGGCATCTGGGGCTGCTGTCTGTCAGGGTTTTGCTCTTCACACCGGATCCCTTTTTTTTCCCCCATCCTCTTGCGTCGCTTGGTGAGCTGACAGCCAGGGAGCTAGGGCCCAGGACCAGGGAGGTCCTGCTGCTACAGGGAGGCAGGGAAGCATCCTGGGATCATCAGTGCCATCTCTGTGGCCAGGCCGGAGGAGTGGTGCCCCCGAAGCCAGCGGACACGTGGCAGCTGGGAGAGCTGCAGGGTGGGTGCTGGGCGAACCCACCCGCAGGCCCTAGAAGAGCTTGTCATCTCCTCCCTTAGGGTTGGGTGTGGCTGGACATAGTAGCTATCGCTCCGTAACAAATTTTTCCCAAACTGAGCGGCCTGTGGCAATAATGCAACATTTTTATCTGACAGTTTCTGTGGCTCATGAAGGAAGCAGCTTAGCGGTGGCCCTGGCTGGAGCTCTCCTGGGGTCGGGGAGAAGTTTGGCAGGTGAGGGCTGAGGGTCATCTCTGCTGGCCGCATGGTGCAGGAGGCTCTGCCCCTCCCAGGAGCCTCTGCATGGCTGAGCGATCCAGGTGGGAGCTGGGCAGGAGCCACATTGTCTTTTGCAATCTTGCTTTGGAAATCTTGAACCGTCATTCCTTAGCATCCTCTTGGCTGCACAAGTCAGCCTGTCATTGTGGACAGGACCACACATGTGAATATCAGGGGTAGGGCTGCCACACCACGTGCAACAAACACTCAGAATAGCAGGGGCTTAACCCTCAGGGTCATTTTTCATGTTTAAGAGCTCTGGAAGCAGCTCATCTTGTGGGGCTGCCCTCCTGTGGGGTCAGGGCACCAGGGCTCCCTTACCTCGCTGCTCTTCTCGTTCCCAAGGGCCCAGCAGGGCTGCTGGGGCTCCAGCCATCCTTTCCACGTGCCAGATGTAGGAAGGAGGAAAGGAGAAGGACATGTTCAGAATTGCACACCCCACCTGTGTGTGAGCTTGGGCCCGTCAGATTGCAGGCCCAGTGGGAGGTGCCTTGTAAACCGTGCTCATGGTTGTCTATCTCGGGATGTTGCAGGGATGCGTGCAGTAGCACATCAGGAAAGTAAAACACGTCGAATTTGACAGGTGCAGGTGCTGGCACAGCCCTGGGGCTTCCAGAGCCCAGGCTGGGTTTTCATTCCTGGTTCCACGATTACTGCCTTGGGCAGTGACTCGGCCTCTCTAAACCTCGGTTTTCTCCCCTGGAAATAAAGATAATGACACATTCACCTCACAGGGTTGTCACAGGCCCACGAGGATGGGGTGTCTAAGTGCCCACTCTGACCTGGAGGGTGCTCCCAGCACAGCAGGTGCCCTCCTTCCTTGTTCTCTCCACCAAGGTGATGACTGATCAACGGTCACAGAAAAGCTCCTTCACTGGCAGATACTGTCTCTTCATCCCATTCAAAAGGGGAAGGGAGGCCGGGCACGGTGGCTCACGCCTGTAATCCTAGCACTCTGGGAGGTCGAGGCAGGCGGATTGCTCGAGGTCAAAATCAGCCTGAGCGAGACCCCGTCTCTACTAAAAATAGAAAGAAATTAATTGACCAACTAAAAATATATACAGAAAAAATTAGCTGGGCATGGTGGTGCATGCCTATAGTCCCAGCTACTGGGGAGGCTGAGGCAGTAGGATTGCTTGAGCCCAGGAGTTTGAGGTTGCTGTGAGCTAGGCTGACGCCACAGCACTCACTCTAGCCTGGGCAGCAAAGCGAGACTCTGTCTCAAAAAAAAAAAAGCGGGGGGAAGGGGCTGAGATCCAGGTTGCTTTTGACTTACTGGGTTGGGGCTGACCACCTGGGAGCCGGCCTCGTTCTCTTTTGCACAAGGGCCCATCAGCTTGTGAGACTTGTGTTCCAACAAGGCGTGCCTTGTTTTTTTTTTTTCCTGAAACAAGGTCTTGCTCTGCTGCCCGGGCTGCAGTGCAGTGGTGTCATCATAACTCACTGCAGCCTCAAACTCCTGGGCTCAAGTGATCCTCCTGCCTCAGCCCCACAAAGAGCTAGGACTATAGGCATGAGCTATCGTGCCCAGCTGGGGTGCCTTTTTCTAGTCCACATTTCTAATCCTGATGACCAGAATGAATTCTAGTTTCTAACTCACATAATGCTGACTGGACCTGTCGCTGGTATTGCATTATTCATCTCGCCTTTGCTGGGGCTAGGGGCGGGTGGTGGGGCGGATTTCTTGGCTCTTTTAACTGGGAAGGATGCGATGGAGCCAGCTTCATGCATGTCTGGATCCAGCGTCTTCGCTGATGTGAGCTGCACCCTTTCGTCCGAATCACATATTCAATCCTGTGTGTTGGCCTTTGTTTCTCTCCAGGTGTATGTGTATCTGGGGGCTGGGGCAGCTCTGGGGTGGGTGAGGGACCCTGGCTGCAGACACACCCAGCATCCACTGTCTCAGCTGTGAGCACCCTCCGCAGGTAGACATCCAGGTTCAGGGCTCTGACTGGCTGTGCACGCCTGTCGGACCACGTGCTGGCCCATGCTGGATGGGGCCACCTGCTGCCAGCCAGGCCACTGAGAAACGGGGTGTAGTCTCTCCAGAGGAGGGGCCGGCATGGGCAACGTGGCAGCTCACGCAGACCCCTGGCCATCGGAGGGCACTCGGGACTTAGAATGCTACGGGTCTCCCTTTAAGAGTTCAGGGTCTCGTGGGGACATCTGGGAGTGTCGGAGGCTTCAGCCACAAAGACCCACCTTCTCCCTGTTCTCCTCTCTCCCGAACAGGGCAGCACGCTGAGAAAACGCAAGATGTACGAAGAGTTCCTGAGCAAGGTCTCCATCCTAGGTCTGTCCTCGGCCTCGTTTGGGCACCTGCAGCCACCAGGGCCATTTTCCCATTGTCCACATGACAAGTTCCGAGTACCATGAAGATTGGGGACACACACACACGTGCACTCTCACACGCCAGAGCACCAGGCGCTGAAATGTCAGTCCCCCCACCCCAGATTCATTCATTCACTAGTGCTGCCGTGGTAACAACCACGGTCTTGTTGCCGCCACAGTGACAGCCGAGACCCTCTTCCTGCACCGGGGGAGGCACTGGTGACCCCGGGGCTGAACTGACGGTGCTGCAGCTTGAAGCAGGCAGGCCCGGGCCGGCCGCCGTTTCCTTCTGCCGTGTCTTGGCTTTTGTAGGCCTGTCAGACACTGTCCCGGCCCGGCCTCCTGTCCGCCCGTTTTGTTTTCCTTTGATTAATGCGATAGCCACCAAGTGTGACCAGCTTCTCCGCGGCCTTCCGGAGAAATAACAAGACTGTAATCCCCTCCTCCCGCTCAGTCACCATTAGCCGCACAAAGTGCTTCAAAAAGTAGCTGGCGGGACAATGCCTCATGGCGGGTTTTGGCAGGCGGGGCGCCTTGGAGGGAGCTGTGACTTTGGCATTGCTCCCTCGCTGGAAACTTGGCCACTATGCACTGGTGCTCTTGGGGGGGCCCCGTCTCCTGGTGAACGTTGGTTCGGCCCCCAGGACCAGAAACTCACAGCCTCAGCACAGTCTGTACGTGAACCTGCAGACTCACCCGAGCCCGCGTGGCGGGGTCTCCCTCTCTGGGCAGGGTCACTCGCCCTGGCTTTGTCGCACCCCGTGGCTGCAGCCCTACCTCCATGCGGTGCTGTCTGGGACACCTGCCTGCGCCACTCTGCACACCTCCCACGGAGCAGGGCTGGAAACACCTTTCAGAAAAGGAAGTGGCCGTTGAACGTGGGGCTCCCGCAGCCTCCCGCCCTGTTTCCTGGTGGGACTAGCCACTAACTCCTATGTCCTGAGGCTCCGGGGGTTCTCAGCTGCAGTAAACAACAAAAATGCCCCCAAATGTGTTGTGTTTCATAAAATGTCCACAGACTCGAGACATTTAAAAAATTAGGTCAAAAAGTTTCCATCTCCCAACATATAGTTACTTCCTCTTTTTTTGTTGTTGTTTTTTTTTGAGACATTTTTCTATTTTTTTTTTTTTTTTTTTGAGACAGAGTCTCACTCTGTTGTCCAGGCTAGAGTGAGTGCCGTGGCGTCAGCCTAGCTCACAGCAACCTCAAACTCCTGGGCTCCAGCGATCCTTCTGCCTCAGCCTCCCAAGTAGCTGGGACTACAGGCATGCGCCACCATGCCTGGCTAATTTTTTATATATATATCAGTTGGCCAATTAATTTCTTTCTATTTATAGTAGAGACGGGGTCTCGCTCTTGCTCAGGCTGGTTTTGAACTCCTGACCTTGAGCAATCTGCCCGCCTCGGCCTCCCAAGAGCTAGGATTACAGGCGTGAGCCACCGCGCCCGGCCGAGACATTTTTCTATTTTTAGTAGAGACAGGGGTCTCACTCTTGTTGCTCAGTCTGGTCTTGAACCCCTGACCTCAAGCCTCCTGATCCTCCCACCTCAGCCTGCCAGAGTGCTGGGATTACAGGTGTGAGCTATTGATCCAGGCCCCAACATATGGCTTTTTCTGACAGTTTTCACCCGAGATTTATGTTGTTGTGAGATAAAGCTATTGCTAATCCTAATTTTTCAGACTTCAGAATACTACAGGTTTTAAATGTAAGGAAAAAACTTGCTGATCAAATATGTGGAAATGAACTTCCTAACTGCAGCTGACTTTTAAAATTAAATGCTTCTTATCACTGCCCTTGTAAAGAAACCAAGAAACAAAACTGCTCTGGATTCATGGCCAGTCTGATTCTGCACCTCTTTCCTCCTAAACACAGGCCGATTTTGCTCACACAAGTCACCTGTGTTAGGTAGCCGCAGGTGTGTGTCAAGGTGCTGCCTGCGGGAACAAAGCTCTGAGCTGTTGAGCACAGACCGGCGGCCTCTTCCCTCACCCCCGGGTCAGCGGGAGGCATTGTCCTCTGCCAGGCGCCACGTTGGCAGGAGCTTTTAAGGAGAGAAATCTCCCTCCTAACCTAGATCTAAAATAAACGCTTAGCTGTTCATCTGTAGCTTGTGGCCAGCAAAGTTTCCTTGGCCAAAGAACAAATAGTTGATCAGGCGACCATTCTTTTCTCATAAAATCCCACATGGTTATTTTTTCTTCTTTCCAAGGGTTAGGGATGGGTAGTGACAGGGAAGGGAAGGTGGGAGAGGGTGGGTCATGCGTTTGCAGCTGTTAGAGAGAAACCTGGCATTGGAGTGAAGTATTTTGACCCGAACAATGGAAGGTACACTCTGGCTTGTCAGCGCAGTGCAAATGCCATTCCGTGTTCTTGGGGAGCGGCCCTTGGAGGGTGGCGTTTCTTCTGAATGGGCGACTGCTTCCGCCGCTCAGGGTTATTTTAAGGCACTTAGTAGCTGCGGTGCTTAGTGACTCTATTGTCTGCAGAAATATAGGCCGCTCCATTCCCTTGAACATCACAAAAGTATGTGCATACGAACTTAACTTGGACTCAATCTTCGGTCCCTATTATTTGCGTTTTGCCAGCAGTGAGTGGGGAACAGCCCCCCAATCCCAAGCTGTGCCCCCCAACCCAGCTGGTCAGAGTCCTCAGGCCCCGTAGGCGCCCGTGCTGGGAGCGGCTTTAGTGGCTTCTGCTACTTTCTGCTGCTTCCTCCTTCTCTTACCAAGCTGATACGGTGGTGGTTTCTGAGGACGAGTTTTGGGCAGAGCAGCGAGCTCATCCTGACCTTGGTGGCATCGTGCCGCCCAGTGACCCTGTCCTTGTCCTCCCCCTGCAGAGTCCCTGGAGAAGTGGGAGCGCCTGACTGTGGCTGACGCACTGGAGCCCGTCCAGTTTGAAGACGGGGAGAAGATTGTCGTCCAGGGGGAACCGGGAGACGACTTCTTCATCATCACAGAGGTGGGTCCCGCTCAGGGCGCCTGTGCTGCTCGGGGTGGACCTTTCCTTCTGGCTCCCCCGCCGTCGCATCCTCCCGCGCATGGGGTGTAAGAGCTGCCTGCAGTGCCCGCCCACACCCGCCACAAGTGTGCCCCCACACCCCCAAGTATGCCCCACACCCCCCAAGTATGCCCCCACACCCCCCAAGTATGCCCCCACACCCCCCAAGTATGCCCCCACACCCCCCATACAGTATGCGCCCCCACACCCCCCAAGGCATGCCCCCACCCCAAGTCTATGCCCCCCACACCCGCTTTAAGCTATGCCCCCCCACCACACCCCCACTATGTATGCCCGCACACCCCCCAAGTACGCCCCCCAACCCTGCACAGAGGGTGTGCCCCCAACACCCCCCGCACGCTCCTGCCCCCACACCCCCAAGTATGCCCCCACACGCTAAGTATGCCCCCACACCCCCCTAAGTATGGGCCCCCAACCCCCCAAGTATGCCCCCACCTCAAGTATGCCCCATACCCCTAAGTATGCCCGCCACACCCGCCTAAGTATGCCCCCACAGCCCCCCCAAGTATGCCCACACGCCCCCTAAGTATGCCCGCCCACCACCCCCCAAGGTATGCCCCCCACCCCTAAGTATGCCACACCCCCCCAGTATTGCCCCCACACCCACCCCACAGTATGCCCCCACGACCCCCAATATGCCCCCACACCCCCCGAGAATATTGCCCGCCACACCCCCCACAGTATGGCCCCCCCACACGCCCCTACAGTATGCCCCCCGACCACCCAGTCATGGCCCCACACCCCCCAAGTATGCCCCGCAACACCCCCCCAGCAGTATGGCCCCCACACCCCCAATATGCCACCCACCGCCGCCAAGTGATGGTCCCCACACCCCCCCAAGTGTATGCCCCACGCACGCCCCTTAAGTATGCCCCCACACCCCCCCCAAGTATGCCCCCATCACCCCCCTAGTATGCCCACCACCCCCAAGTATGCCCCCCATCCACCCCCCCAAGTATGCCCCCACACCCCCCCAGTATGCCCCCACACCCCCCAAGGTATGCCCCCACCCACACCCCCCACAGTATGCCCCACACCCCCCAAGTATGCCCCCACACCCCCCCAAGTGTGCGCCCCCACACCCCCCAAGTGTGCCCCCCACACCCCCCCAAGTGTGCCCCACACCCCCCAAGTATGCGCCCCACACCCCCCAAGTATGGCCCCCACACCCCCGCAGAAGTGTGCCCCACACCCCCAAGTGTGCCCCACAGCCCCCAAGGTATGCCCTCCACACCCCCAAGGTATGCCCCCAGCCACCCCCCAAGTATGCCCCAGCACCCCCCAGTATGCCCCCATACCCCCTTAAAGTATGCCCCACACCACCCCAAGTATGCCCCCACACCCCCCAAGTATGCCCCAACCTCCATTGTCCCCACACGATTCCCATGTCACCCACACCCCCACACCCTCCACACCCCCTACAACCCCATGACCCACCACAACTCCCTCACATCCCCACACCCCCTAAAGTATGCCCCCATCACCCCCAAGTATGCCCGCCCACACCCCGATGTCCCCCACAACCCATGTTCACCCACACACCCATCACCCTCCACAACCCCCTACAACCCCATACCCACTCACAACCTCCCACACCCCCCATGCCCTCACAACCCCCACACCCCCATGTCACCCACGACTGCCACACCCCTACGCCCGTCCTCCACCAGACGTCCTCGTGCAGCGGGTGGGCAGCGGCTCACACTCTGGCCACTGAAGAGCCCTCTCACCCTCGCGCATCAAGATTCTGTCCCTGAAATGGTGGCAGATGCAAAGCCTGCACGGGGGAGGAAGTTGCATAAACCAAGCGCACGCGTGCAGGAGCAGGTAAAGCTCCAGTGAGCTGAGCGGGCGGTGTCCGCCGGCGTCCTGGTTGCGGCAGGTACTGCACAGCTTCCTGGCGCGCTCCGTGCGGGGAAACGCGTGGATTTAGGGCTCTCACTGCATTATTTCTACGGCTGCATGCGCATATACAGGAATCACAAAATAAAAATTTTAGTTTTAGAAAGATGGCAGTGATTTCTCTGCCTGAACACACAAGCCACTTTTGCTGTCTCTCGCACCACGGCCCCACCGAGGACAGGCGACGGTCGGCCCGTGGAGTCCCTGGTGCGCGCCGGCCGTGGTCTAGGGGCTGCACCCAGCTGTCGAGATCGGGGTGAGCAGCAGTCCTGGGAAGAGGCAGGAGGTCATGGAACCAGCGGCCTGTGCGTGAACTGGCTGTGGGAATCCACGCTGTCGGGGGCCTGTGCCCTGCGTGGGGGGCGCCTCTTCCCAGGGATCAGTGTTGGGGCGAACCTGGGGCGGCAACCTCACGCGCAGGCGTGAGCCTCCCAGCGTGGGCGCGAGAGAGTGACACTCGTGCACAGAGCCGAGTGTGCGCCACGTGGTCGGCACGCTCCCCCCTCGGGGCTCTGGGGTGAGGGGGCTTCACGGCCGCAGGCTGTTCAGGCCCATTCTCCCGAGCACGCTTCAGTGTGGTGGGGTTTGGGCCGCGAGTGTCCCACAGCACGTGGGCCGCCTGGAGGGAACATCTCACTGCCCTGGGGCTGCTGGGAGGACAGGAGGTGAGCAGGGGCTCGACCCCAGCGGACATTCACCCAACTGAACCCTTCTCAGGAGTCACTTCCTTGGATTCCAATAGCAACAAAAGCACCGGCAGAATCACCGAGGCCACTGGCACCCCACGGGCTGGCTCTTGCCCCTCTCTGGGACACAGGCTGTAAAGGAGTGAAACCTGAGGGCAGGAAATGCAGATTTCGTGTGTGGCATGTGCCTTGAGTCCTCATGAGCTCCTGTGTGTTAAAGGCCCCTTCCTCTCCACATCCTGCCACACCAGCCTCATCCCGCGTGGCCTGCCCATCAGGAAAGATCCGGAAGGCTCTAGAGTACAGCAGGAGAATCAGTGGGGCAGAGGCCTGGGAGAGCCCTGGGAGATTTCTGCTGTCCCGGAGGAGACACCAGGAGGGTTTTGACAGCTTCACCTTCTCGGAGCTCAACGGGTGGATTTGGGGACCCGGAACCTGAGTCACCTCCCTGTCCACATCCCAGCACTGGGAAAGCTCCGAGGAGGGCTGCTGAATGAATGCACACATGAATGAATGATGCTTGTCTCCACCCAGACTTTCCAGGAGGCTCCAAAAATATTCCCCTAGGGTGCCCCGTTGGGGAGCAGGTCTCAGTATTCCCCATCTGCAGGGTGGGGACACACTCAGCAGTGACGCTTCTTTACAAAGAAAACAGGAAGAAAGAAAGAATAAAGCCACAGGCAGATCCAGTCAAGTCACAATGCCAGTTAGCGTTGGAAGCGGCCTCGGTCGGTAGCCTTGATGGGGTGTAAACCCACCTGTTCCAGCGCCCGGCGCAGCTGTGATTTGGAAGCTCCCGCCCTGGGCTTGCCCAGAGCCTGCCAATGCCCGTCGAGTGCGGAGGTCTTTGCGTGCAGGTGGGGTGGAAGTGGGGGCTTGGAGGGGAACCCTTTGAGGCTTTGATCTCAGAACTTCAGGGGCACTGCCGTCCCTTGAGGCTGTGTTTCCATCTTGTTCCACCCTCGTGCTGGACGGCAAAGGGGGCCTGGGGTCTGCAGGACGCGGCAGCAGAGCCGTGGGTGCTCCACACTCTCAGCCGAAGCTCCTGCCAAGCAGAGAGGACCGTGACACATGGAGCTTCCACGGACATTGAGTGAGCCCAGCTAGATGACCCAGTGGGGACAGTCTCTGCGAGTCTTGGCCGGCTGGCCTTTCGCCCCCAGGGCAGCCTCCTGCCCCCTCATGCTCCGTAAAAATCCGTCCTTTGACTCTGGGTGTCTCCCCACGACAGTGGCCTTGCTGTGGCATCACCCTGGATGTTCAGGGCCTGACTTCCCCGGTCGGGAAAATGAAGTCCCTTCAGCCTTCAAGTTATCACATCTGGCCTGAAGTCTGAGATGTCACAGGCAGCTGTCTTTCCCGTGGAAACGTGGAGTCTCACTCGCCTCCCCGTGGCGCTGGGCTGGCGTTAGCCGCGTGCTTGACCAGCGGGTTGCAGGAGCAGCGGCTGCAGGGCGTCCGAGGCTGGGGCCTGAGAAGCCACCACGGCCTCTGGGACCCTCGTTCTTGCGACGCTGTTCTTGGAGCCCAGGGGCTGTGCCCCGAGATGCCCCGAGCTCTGGGGTCAATGACCGCTGCATGAGTGCGCCGGCCAGGACATCCACCCAGCTCCACCGCAGGAGAGACCCCGAGTGAGAACCCCCTGCTGATCCCACGGAGCCAAGAGCTGTGAGAGATAATGACAGGTTGTGGTTTTCAGTGACTAACTCTAGGAACAGGCCGCTACCAACACAAGCCGTCAGCAGAGCCCTGTCCTCGCCTAGGCAACAGGGCACAGACGGCGGCCCTCTGGCCACTCCGCCGTCAGCGAGGGTGTGGTGCTGAAACGAAATGCCTTTGCTGCTCTGGGGCCTTCACTCAATGAAAAGAAACTGGCGCTCACAGGCCAAATCGCGCCCAGGGACGAATTTGTGTCATCTCACACAGTGTGTTTTCCCAACATTTGAATTAGTTGTTGGTATTTTAAAATCAGGAGATTTCACATAAAAATCTGGGTCTCTGACTTCTCTTTAAAAATCTGGCCTCTGGCCTCAGTGGACCTGCTTGCCCGACTGGCCCCCGCCGGCGGGAGCCAAGGCCACCGGGGGTGTCACGTGCAGCCGTGAGCCACAGCCCCCACCCAGCCTCTCGCTCTTCAGCGGGCGCTGCAGGCACGCGGGGGCTCCTGCGTTTTGATGGTCTTGAGACGGAGGGAGGAGAAACTCCGGCCAGTGCAGACGTGTCTGCCGTTCTCGGGGGCGGGCCCCTCCCCGAGGAGTCCAAGGCCACGTGTAGGAGGATCGTGAAGCTGTGTGCGACAGGCCTGGTCAGGGGGTGCGTCTCCCCAGAGCAGAGAAAGGCAGTGCCCGCGGC